AATATTTCTTTATTAGTACTTCTTTGTAATAGCTTTTTATTCTTAAGAAGGGGTTTCATATTTTTAAAAATATTTATAAAGTATTTTTTTTCATGTTTTGATAGTATAAAATAAGTAGTATAATTGTTCTTTGTTATTTTCGATGTTTTCGATGCTTAATTTTAATTATAATTTAATTTGTTAGCTTACTATATCACAAAAATATATCATGTAACAAATCAATTGAACTTACATCACATTAAATTCCATATAATTTTCATATAAATACCCAGGCTTTTATCCTTAAATATGCTAATAAAAAAAAACTTACAAAATATTCACATTAAAAATAAAGAATATTTGCAGGTTTAAAAAAGAGATGTAATATATCCCACTAATTTTATCCTTTATCTCCTCAAAAAAAAAGAGGAAAAAAAATGTAAAAAAAAATTTTTAATATTCGTAAAAAAGTAATTCATAATGGATTAAATTTTCTACTACCAATACTATTATATTTCTTTGGTAGACTATTTATGTTTTTTAAATTTTTCATATCTATGTAATATTATATATAAGATAATAAATTGATATATCAAATAAATAAATAAATAAATAAATATACCCTTTGCATAGATTTATAATTTTGTATGACTACACTTTTTTAAAAAAATTTCTTTTTATATTATTTTAATTAATTATTAAAGATATTAGATAAAGCTTCCAACTAAACAGTTAAAGAGTATAACTAAACAAAAAATTCAATCATAATTTGTTATTAGAGATAATATTAGAGTAGAAATAAAATAATAAAAGTTTCAATGCTTATCATTAATATTCTACTTTGATTGATTAAATTCAATGCAACTTTTTTATTTTGACTTTTATGAACTGTTTATACTTTTCAAACTCAATTACAATATTACTTAATTTTCCATTTTTAGTCATACTGATTTGTTATCATAATTAAAGGAATTATTCTTATTCCTTCGTTTTTTAAGCACAAGAATTTAATCTGATGTATTTGAGATTCATTATCACAACCATAATAGAAAGATATTATTTAATATATAATATCATATAATAGGATAATGTGAAATTAAAGATATAATGGTAAAAATTTATTTTATTTTAAGATCATTTATGAAATTTAGCAATTTCAAGATGAGTAAAGATTTTTGTAATAAGGAAAGAGATACATCCTTTCAAGTATTATTTATGCATTGATTACAATATCCTGTAAAAAATTTTCTGTAATTTGATTCTATATTTATTCCATTTATATTAATAAATAACAAATTCCTTTTTTTCATAAAGGTTTCATATTGACGGAATTAATATAGAAACTTCATGAAAATTATTTAGCAAATAAAGTTTATATATTTAATCAATAAAACTGATAAATTCTATATAGAATACTAAAAAATCATTGAATGAATTTATTAAATAAAAATTGATAAATTCCATATAAATTACTGATTAAAATTATTATATAAAATGAATAAATTCTGTATAAAATACTGAAAAATTATTGAATAAATTCCATATAAATACTGATATTATTATTAAATAAAAATGGATAAATTTTGTATAGAACACTGAAAAATTATTAAATAATTTTATTATATAAAAATGATAAATATTTACCGTTTAGTACTGCTTACAGTATCCCCTAAAAATAATACTTCCGTGATTAAGACCTGAATACTATTCACCGTTTACAATGATCTAAACATGGTTAGTATCTGGGTCCTTTTCAAAATCAAATTCGCAAAAATAGATTAATACTCAGATACTTAAAATTAGCAAATTAGATTTCCCGATCTTTTTTTTTTAAATTACAAAAATTTTTTATCGCAAAAGGCTTTTAATCGCAAAAAAACTTGTAATTTATTTTATATATTATCAATATAAAAATGAACAACTCTGAAAAATACAGCCAAATTTTGTCTTTGTGTTTATTATTTCATTAAACTAATATTGTAAACTGCAAAATGTGCTTGGAATATTGCAAAAATAGTTGAAGATAAAACTAATCTAGCGAAAATATAAGGTTTGTTATTCATTATTATCTATTAATTAATTAATTCTAAATATTAACATAATTTTCCTCTTCATTTTCATAATATTCACATTCTGAATCATTATCATCATCTAAAATTTCGTCATTTTCCCTTCTTCTTCTATACTAATTTCTGCACTTCTTTTACCCGAAACTTTCTTAAAATCAAAAATTGAATGATTTTTGAAGCTATCTACTTCTGTTGAAACTCCACAATACTTAAAGGACCGTTGTATCATTATAAGATCAAACTTATCCCATGCTTCTTCAATCCAATTTGCTACTAATGAATATGATGGTCGTTTGATTTTACCTGATGGTGTATATTCTTTTATAGCCTCACCTATCCAATTATTATAAGCATGACGAACCTATTAATGAAATATTAGATAAGTATTATATAACAATATTTATTTGCTTTATATAATATAATTTTTATACTAACCTTAGCTTTAAATGCTTTATTTAAGAATACATCTAATGGTTGTAAGCGTGAAGTCAACTTACCTGAAATAATAGCAATATTTGTGTTTTTTTCATAGAGACGACATTTAACAGTATTGTTCTATGAGTAGTAAATGAATCAAGAACAAGAAGTGAACATGGATTTGAACTCAAATTAGCCTGTTGACACCATACATTTTCTATCCACCAAATCATTTCTTTTTCATCCATCCATCCACTAGGATTTGTATAAACATATACACCATTTGGAAATTGTTCTCGTGATACATTAACCAATTTAAAAATAATAAATGGAGGAAGTTTAGTACCATCCGCAAGACAAGCAAGAGCTACTGTAAAATTGATATGTTCATGGCCTGTTGTAAGAATTGAAATGGTTCACTTTTCACGTTCATCAACAGTTATTTGACTTGGCATATTAAATGACATAGGAGTTTCATCTATATTTCTGATTAAATTTAAAGGGTAATTATGTTCAATTCGTAAATAAAGAATATATGATAAAAAATTTTATTGTTCTTCAATATATTCTTTAGGTAATTTTTGTGCTATTGTAGTACATCGACGATTTATCAACAAATGGCGAGACATAAATCTATCAACCCATTTTTGTGAAAATTGACATTTATGAATATTAGGATACAAAATAAGGTACTCTTATTTTTTAGCTAAACTGCGAGCATTTATACCAATCATATATCTAGTTACTGTTTTTAGTTATCTTCGTAACTCACGAAACTATTCCAAAAGTTCATCTTCAAGTTGTGGATATTTAGGTCATATACCAATATTAAGTCATTGAATATATAGAGCTACACGCATCAAGTCATTTTTTTTGCTTTTCCAATCACAAACTTATTTTGGTTCAATATTATATTTATTTGCTGTTTTCTGAATATTATGCCCATTTCTTAATATAATATAACCATCAGTTTTTCACGAGCATTCCATTAATGTCATTTCTTTTATATATTTCTTGCTCGTTGTACACTAAAATTTCCTCTTAGCATTTTTTATAAAAATTTAAATTTTTAGATAACAATAATACTTTATAGACAATAAGATCAAAAAAAAAGCAGAAATAAAAAAGAAAAAAAATAAATTTAATTTTTTAAACTCTTATTTTATTAATATCACGTAAAAAAGTTTAAAAGTATCATAATCAAAAAAAACGTGTAAATTAATAATGAAACTTTTTATTGATATCAATATATTTCATAAATGATTTTAATATATTTTCTTTATAAAATATCCCCATATATAATATCCTCCTATATAATATATCCCTCAAAAATAATACCCGGTTCTACACACAGTACCCATGGATATTATTCAATTTAAAAAATGTTTTTGAATAAGACCCTGGATACTGTAAGCAGTGCTAAACAGTAATTATAATTACGAAAATTTCTATAATTTTATTATCCAAGTTTCTTGTCAGATCTTGTTGCTTATAGAACCTTTATTAGTTTCTGTAGAGGATCTTTTGATTTTCTTTTTCCTTTCCCTTTTTTATCGTTATCTACAAAATTATAAAATTGAAAATATAAAAATATATAAGTAAAATAATTATATTTATTTAAGAATATCATTTACTTTTTACTTTGAAAAGCACTAGCAGATGTTTCTGCATTCAAAGTAGATAAAGGTGAAATCACTATATTTGAAATAGATGAGGATAAAGTCACTGCATCTGAAGTGGATTGTGATACTAATATAACTGAAACAAATAAATGTAAATTTACTGCATCTGAAATGGATAAAGATGGTACTATTGAAGCTAAAATAGAAAAAGGTAAATCTACCACATTTGAGGCTGATAAAGGTGAAATTATTACTTTATAAAATAAAAATAATATTAATATTATTGATTACTAATAAAGCTTATATGTAGTATAAAAATAATACTTGAAGTACTTCTAGTATCTTGTAAGACTTCAATAGAATCATTTATGTTTTGCTTTTTGAGAGATTTAATATTTTTCTTTTTTGGTAGTGGTAACGGAAAACCATATTTTTTTGCTTTAGAAATTTCCTTTTTTTTCACTTAATCAACTATATAATTTTTAAAATTAAAAAAGTTTTCTTTTTTAAAAAAAAGAATAAAATACTATAAAATTTGATAAAACATACCTGTATTATTGCAATATAAAGCAAGCCATTCATGTAAAATAAAATCTGCTTCAGAGATTAGAAATGTTATATTTGCTTTTTTAAACTATATATTATAATAATAAAAATTAATTTTATTTATTTTTGCTAATATAAATTTTAAATACTTGCTTCTTTAATAATTTCTCCAATTTTCCTTTTTGTTGACAGGATATTGATTCACTACGAGAAAATCTAAAAGCTACACAATTTCAAAGATTACTCTGCAATAATAATAAAAATTAATTTTCTATAAATTAAAAAAACCAGTTTTATAAATATACTTTCTCTAAAGTTTAAGTATTATTTTTTGTCAAGTTTTAAGAATTCATGCTATTAAAATCGAGTTACAAAATATAGTAAATAAAATAATCCATAATGTGATTTTAATAGCTTATCTCCAAAGTTTTTATAATTAAATAAATATATCTATTCATTGATAATATTATTCACAGCATTTCGTATATCTGGAACTGAAAATGAGAGATGCTTTTCAGAATTTATTATATTGAAAAGAGATGGATCTGCATTAAATAAAGCAAGAAAAAGTTGTTATCATTGTTCACAAATAAGTTTATTAATATTAATTAAAGCACTTTGTGACATTTTAATTTTAATTTTTTTTTAAAAAAAACAAAGAAGAGTTAAGAGTTTACAAAAAAGTTTTAGTTATCGTATTTATATAAAATAATTATAATAAAGTATAAGAAATTTAATAACATTTAATAGTATTTGCAAAAGTATAATATTTACTAGAGTTCTAAAAATAACTTGCATAATCTCACATATTGACTTGCATGATTGTGTATAATTGTAAATTTTAGTTACACATAATAAATAAGTACTTTAAATTAAAGGTATGTAGAATAATTTTAACTCAAAATTCAACTTTGACTCGACTTATTAGGAACACTAATATTTACAATAAAATATATATTTAATAATATTTGAATAAGCTTATAACAAGATAAATTTATATAATTTATTTAATATTCATTGAAATTTATAAGCTAAAAAGTTTATATAAAGTTTTATCAATACCTGTTTAGTAAAAATTAATGTTATTACATACTATTGTAATCTATAAAATTAATAAATACTGTGTAACAATTATTATTGAATTAAATTACTCTCTTTCTGGTAAATGTAACATTTTTTAAAAATTAAGATTTTTTTAAATAATTTATTTAAATATAAATAAACAAGTTTTATGCACCTGTGTTTGGTGTCTTTAAGAGTCAAATAAACAAGGCAAATTAGTTAGTAAGTCAACTCATTCAAGACATATAACAAAGCAGAAAAATACTTGGGCTAATTTAGCAGACATTCCTGCTTTATAAAGACGTTTAGTTATATCTGTTTCTCAAGCATCATCAAGTTCTACAATAATAACTGCATTAACTATACCTCTATTACTATTATCACCTGCTAATATTTTTAAAAATTGAGATTATAGTAATAAATATAATATAAATAAAGAAATTGAAACATTCAAAAATCTATTTAATGATGATGATTTATTTGAAATATTAGAAAATAAAAAGGAAGATAATAATAATAAAAAAGATGAAGAAAAATAATAATTATTATTATGATGATGAAAATATAATATATAATAATGATAGTTACAAAAATAATAGTGATAATAATTATAATAGTTTTGATTTTGAAAGTATAAATTCTGGTAAGCTATAGTTTAAATATTTACGAATTCAAAATTTTGTATTATATTCATATTATTTTAAAATTATTTTAGAGAATTTGATTAAAGGTTTACAACTTCTTCAAATTAAAGAGAAATATAATATCTCAGAAATAGTATTTAATGAAATTCTTAAAGTTTTAGAAATTTCTGATGTTTCTCTTTATAAACTTCAAAAATTCCTTAGAAATCTTATACCACTAAAACCAACATTTGTAGAATGTTGTATTAATTTATGTATAGCATTTACTGATGAATATATAAATAAGAAATTCTATCTAAAATGTAAAAGATCACGTTATAAACTAATGTAATACCTTAAATGCCTCAAAAAAAAGCTGCTTATAATCATTTGTAGATTCATTTCAGATGCAATATAAAGATAAATTCCATGCAGAAATTCTTCATTACAGATATAATTATATTTCAACATATGAATATAGACTTGGTAATCAAATAAATGATATATTTGATGGCCTTTGATATAAGACCTTAGTTTCTTCTGGTCTTTTTTCTGATTATTGAGATATAGCTCTAATGGTATCTACTGATAGATATCAAATATTTCGCTAAAAGCGAGATGATTGTTGGGTTATACTTTTTATAAATGCTAACTTACTACCTAATATACGTATTAAATGAGAAAATTTAATGATTTTAGCACTCATTTCAAAGCTAAAAATACCAAAAAATTTTAATTCTTTTTTAAGACCATTAGTTGATAAATTAAAATAACTGTCAGATATTAATTATATATATATTATTTTGCAATATATTTTATATAATGTATTTATAATATACTAACTATTATTATTATAATTAATATAAAGGTATTCAATGTATTGATAGTTTAACAGAAAATACATTTATCCTTCATGTACATATTTTAAGTATATCTGATGATATTCCAGCACTTTTTAAAGTCATATGTACAATAGGTTATAATTTATATAAGGCATGTTATTTTTACTCTATTTATGGAATATATTACCGACATAAAAGACTTATAAGATATATATGATTTCCTAAGGATTAATGTCATTTTTTTGATTATTATCATCTATGTCTTTTTTATGTAACATTACTTCTCTTTAAGATTTTGCGTTTTCACAAATCATTTATTTTTTCATCAATAATTAATTTTTCATTATTTTAAAACTCAAGATCTATAATCTATAATATCCTTTCTATTATTAATAATCTTTTTCAAAAATTATAGTAAGAAAAGAAATTTTGTATTTTTAAAAATCAAATTAAATTTTTTTTTTTTATATTTTAAAAAAATTTTTTGTAGAATGCATGCTGTATTCATACATGACCTATCAAAGGGGAGCATGTTATATTTATACTATCTACAATTGACCTTACAAATACAGTCAACTCTTAATATAACGAATTCTTAATATAATGAATTTTTTGAACAAATATAATAAAAATACTCTTGTTATAGCGAATTGGCCAATAAAATCTCTTAAAATC